TATTGTTATAGCTTATAAATGTTTTTACTTTTATAACTTATTTCTTCCTAATATCTCAATGATTGTAATTAAAATCAAGGTTAAAAATAATACTCATGTATTTATTAATCAAGTATTAGTAAGGGTCATATAATTTTAACACTCCTGTTAATGTTTCCCTTATAGATTCTGACTGTGGTTTTGATAACCATTACCTTGAAAATAACTGTTGTGAAACAATATCTTTTGAATCTAAGAAGGGGACACTCATGTGTCCCCACCAATGGCTTCCTCGAGGTGACATTATCTGACTGTCTGTGTAGGTCAGCACCATCTAATAGAAATTTTGCTAATGATCAAATGTTCTCTCTTCATACTGACCAATCCAGTAGACATTAGTCTATTGTGCACTTGACATGTGACTAATGAGACGGAGGGACTTAATTTTTAACTTTAATTTTAATGAGTTTAAGTTTAAATAATCATGGGAGAACAGTGCCTGTCCTATTGGATAGTGTATGCAGCTTTCATCAGCCTCATTCCCATGTGTTTCCCAAAGCAGTTTCCGCCCAAGGAGCCTGGAACTTTCTTCACCAACACAAATTAGTAGTCAATCATCTTTCTCCATGATCTCCATGTCCTTAGTACTTGGAATTATGCATTCTGATAGATGGCTTTTCAGCAAGCGCTCATGTTGGAACTAGAAAGTTCTTTTTAAGTCTTTTAAGAAAAAAGCTGCCTCCCACGCTTGAAACAAATCTTTGACAAAGGTATGTCTGGGGCAACACATTTCCCTGGGGTCCCCTTTTGCATCTGGACTTCTCTTCATTTCTGTGTTCACAACATCCACCAGCAGTAACAACTCTACTTGTTGAAGAGCTGCTGTTACAAGAAAGGTTAACAGTCCCTGTGTGTAAATTTTCTAATTTCCACAACAACCCCATAAATTAGATAACATATCTCCAATTTTGGGGGAAGAAAACCAGAGATTTAAGTAACTTAGCCAAACTCTAGCAACTGGCAAATGGCAAAGATGTATTGCACATTCTAATTCTCTCATCCTAAAGTGAGCTGGAGAATCTTAGTTTCACCGTTGACTAGCTGTGTGGCCTTGGGAAGTCACTTATTCTGCCTGACCTTCAGTTTCCACATCTGGAAAAAGAGAAATTAACAATGGATGCCTCCAGGGCAGACAAGGAGTTAGCCTGAGGTTTTATGAGAGCCCTCCAGGTGCATAGGGGCCCAGTGCTTGCTTCCTGGGTTATCTTCAATTCCATCCCTATCCCTCCTGGCATGTGAATTTATTTTTATCCTTGATTTTTTTTTTTATGATTGCTTATTGTTATTATCAGTAAAAGTGCTTAGCTGAACTGAATTTCACCCAACAGACATTTAGTGAGTCTCTACTATGGTCATGAATCATGCTGGTGTTGAACACAATCAGTGGCTGAGTTCAAATTCTAGAAAGCGGAGTGTATCCTTTTCTAACTAAAATTTGTTGAAAGTTTACCACGGTTTAGCAATTCTAAATGCTTTACATGCATAACTCACATAATTCTCATTGTAACACTTTGTAGCAATGACTATTAGTATTCGAATATTCTAATCCTCATCACACAGTTAAGGAAACTGAGGAACAGAAAGGCTGAGCTACTTGCCATATATGACATAATTTATAAATGGTAGAGCTGGGGGCTCAAATCCAGCCAAGCTGGCTGCAAAGCCCCCACTCCTAACCCTGAGGCTCTGAGGTCCCCCGTCCTTATGTTTGCAAGTTACCCTGAGAAAGTCATTCCAGAGCCAGGGCACAAAGGAACACCTCCAAGAGGTGCTCAAACAACCCTGAGCACTGCCTGCAAACAAAATGTGCTATAGGCTGGATGGGGAATACAAAGTTGTCTAAGAGTTCTGCTCCATACCCAGGAACGTAGATTGTAAGTCTAGGAAAGAGCATGATTAAAAAGTACACAATTACTTATAAAGCAAATGAGGTGTAAGTGCTAAATTGCTGAAAGAAAGTCCTACGCACTTTACACAGAGATCAGTTCTGGTTTGGTTACTCAGAAACACGTGTGATGGGGCAGCGTGTCACAAGTGCCTTAAAGGAAGGGTCAGATTTCAGCAGATGGAGAAGAGGCAGTGACAAGAACTTTCCTGGTAGACAAAGAGACAGGAGCCATGGGGTGGCGGTGAGGCACAGTGAGACGTTTCTCTGACGGTCAGCAGGGGCCCCTCTTGCTGGGCCTTTCAGCATCTGTAGGAACAAGTGAATTTGACAAAAGGTGGGTTGTAAAGAGGTAAAGGCCATGGGCAGAACTGTGAGGACTGGCCACCCTCATGGGGGAAGAAGGGCAGAGGGGCCACCCCTCTGGCAAGTAGAGGAGAGGAGGAGCAGGAAGTTAGGTGTCTCAGAAGCTGTGGGATGAAGAGACCTGAAATAGCCAGAGATCAAGAGTGCAAACAACATAGAGACATCAAGAAAAATAGAGACCAAAAATAAGTTTTTGGCTTCAGTATTTAGGACATGATGGGTGTTCCTCAAGGGAGACGTTGCACTGAAACAGCAAAATGGGCCTGGGCTGGTGAGCCCTCAGTGAGGGCAGCAGGGCCAGGGGCCAGCCAGTGGAAAGGGAGTTACTGGGGTCATCCTCATGGAGACATAGGTAGTGGCCAATCCCCCTAAACAGAAGGTCCAGAGAGGAACAGAGGTAGTTTAAAACATGCAAAAAAGCCTCAGAGTAAATGGCCCAAGGAGACCCAAATAGGGAACCCTACTAAAGATGGCCATGATGAATCATCTAGAACCCATCCAAGAAGTGAACCAGCCTGGTGTGGGGGCAAGACTTGATTCTTGAATATCCCTCAAACTCCTTTGAGGGCTGGCAGGCTTGAAAATTTTAGTGAAGTTTGAGGAAAGGGTGTAATAGGTCCTGTCCTCTCTCTTGCCTCACACATACAGGCATTGCTCTCATTTTCTGAGATCTTTCAGAGGCCATCTATCTTTCCGGGAAGGCCAAAGGGCCAGCTGCACCTGAGGCAGCCCTGCTCCAGCTCCAGCCTCCGTGGGTGGCCTGTGCATGTGAGTCAAGACCCAGGCTCAGCATAGGCAGCCGCTGGGACGTCAGACCACCATCTGCCTGCTCCCACCAGCAGACAACCCAACTCTCCAAAACTGCTAGTCTTTCCTTCTCTCCCCGGAGGTGCAGAGGCACCCATTCCAGGGTTCCTCAGACCTTAGTTTCCATGCTGCGCTCCCCCACCTAGCTTTCAGGAGGCAGTAGCTGTCCTTGTCCGAGCTCCCGTGCTCCACCCTGGGATAAGACAGGAAAGGACCACTGTACCTCCTCCCTTTCACTCTTGGAGTGCCCACATCCCACCCCTTTGGTCGCTATCAGTAGAATCCAGGGGAGGGGTGAGTGGGCACGTGCTTGCCTTTCGCCTGTGAAGAGGCCACACTGCCCTTACAGGGTCCGCGCTCTGCTGGACCAAAGAGGCAAGACACCCAGCTAAAAGGTGGAATCCGCGTAGGAGTTCCCTGGAGCGAATTTTCTTGTCCCAGGGCAAAGGCCCTGCATTCCTCACACCCATTATTAAGCTTTTCAGCCCAAGTTTAGAGCTCTCCAACTTTGGGGGCTTTGTTTAGCGTTCAACAGCGCCGCCCTCTGGTGTGTGGTTGTGAGTGACCGTAGCAGAGAGGTGGCACACGATTAAAAAAAAAGAAGAAGAAGAAGTTTGTCCCTCCCTTATGTTTTGGACACGCCCCCACACACCAGACACACACACACACACACACACACACACACACACATTCTTGGTAAGTGAATAAGCGCAAAAGGTCGCGAAAGTGACAGATTCCCATCTCCTCGTCGCAGCTGTCCCCACCCTGTCCGTCCGGAGGACCGCCCTTCTGCAACGCGAGTGGCATTACGTTGCACCTTTATATCACTCTGATCTCTCAGCCAAATGCAAAATTCCTTAACCGTCCCAAGCCAGATTCGCTTGGAGCCCGAGAGGGCTCCCGTGCGCCCCTTTTGGGGTGTGAGATGGCCTATCCCTCTGTGAAGCTGGATAAAAACAGACCGAACAGGCTAGCGCGCTCCCCAACACGCCCGCTCCTACAGTGCTCTGCAAGAATTCGCCTCATGCTCAGGGACCCGTGGGTCCCTGATTGTGCGCGGAGCGCGCCAGTGTTAGGCCAGTTCTTCCTCCTTCCCCCATCATCGCGCCAGCCACACCCTTTGTCCTCTGGGGCCGAGCGCACCCATGTCTCCTGCTTTAGGCGCCAGGGCTCGGGGCGGGGTCCAGTTCCTTCACCGCCACTGCTTCTTTGAGGGAAGCCCACGCCCTTGGCACCCCCTCCCCAAATCTTCTTCTTGTCGGGCACCTCCCCCTAGAGCCGGACCGGTCGTGGGCACTACCTCCCCGCAGCTCATTCAAAGCCCTCCTCTCTGGTCTCCACTTCACAGAGTTCCGCAATCCAGACTTCCCTTGAAATTGGTGGTAATATTCTTTTATAAGAAAAAGAAAGAGGACCGAGAGATTAAGAGGGGCTACGTATTAAGCCCCCTTTACGACCGCGAGCCTGAGGGCCCTAGTGGCGGGGGAGGACATTGTCTTGCTGACAGAGGTGCTGTCTTCCCGCGGCGCCTGCGCCTGGCGGTCCCGCCTGGGGACCTCCCAGCGCCCAGGCCGGGTTTACTCATCCCAGCGAGGTGATCCCAGGCGCGAGGGCGGGCACAAGGCGTCCGGAGAACCCAGTAATCCGAGAATGCAGCATCAGCCCTTCCCACCAGGCACTTCCTTCCTTTTCCCGAACGTCCAGGAGGGAGGGCCGCGCACTTATAAACCCCCGCCCGGGCCCGCCGGCATGTCAGAGGCTGCTTCGCCAGCGCTGCGCGCCGCGGCTGGACACGTCTGGGCTGGGACCAACGCAAGCGGCTATCGCCGGCGGCGCCCTGCGCTTCTCAGTCCCCTCCGAGCTCGGGCCCTGTCGCGGCGTTTGCCCTCTCCCCCGCGCCTGCCATCGGCGTGCTGGGACAGCATGCTCCGGGTCCTGCTCCTCGGTGTGCTGGCCCCCGCCGGTCTGGGGCTCCCCACGTCCCCAGAGCCTCAGCCACGCGGCAGCCAGTGCGTCGAGCACGACTGCTTCGAGCTTTTCCGGGGCCCCGCGACTTTCTTCGCCGCCAGCCAGGCCTGCGAAGGGTTGGGGGGCCACCTGATGACTGTGCGCTCCTCAGTGGCGGCTGATGTCATCTCCTTGCTACTGAGCGGCGACAGCGGCGACAGCCCGCGCCTCTGGATCGGCCTGCAGCTCCAGCCCGGTTGCAGCGACCCAGGGCAACTCGGGCCCTTGCGCGGCTTCCAGTGGGTTACCGGCGACAACCGCACCAGCTACAGCAGGTGGGCGCGGTTCCACGTTGACCCAGTGCCTCTCTGCGGCCCCCTGTGCGTCGCAGTCTCGGAAGCTGGGGCCCTAGCACCCGGCGAGCCAGCCTGGGAGGAGCAGCAGTGCACTGCAGAAGCTGATGGTTTCCTCTGCGAGTTCCACTTTGCAGCCTCCTGCAGGCCCCTGCTTGTGGACTCTGGCGCCGTGGCGGCCGCCGGTGTAACGATCACCTATACCACCCCGTTCGGGGCCACTAGCGCGGACTTCCAGGCACTACCCGCGGGTAGCTCTGCCTCTATAGCGCCCTTCGGAGTGGAGCTGGAGTGCGCGGCGCTGCCAGGAGAGGCCGAGGCGCGCTGGGGCCGGGATGACCAGGGCGCCTGGGACTGCAGCGTCGAGAAAGGCGGCTGCCAGCACACTTGCAACAGGAGCGCTGAGACGTCGCACTGCTTCTGCCCGGCTGACGCCTACCTAGAGGCTGACGGGCGCTCCTGTGCCGCACAAGCGGATCACCCTTGCCATAAACTCTGCGAGCACTATTGCATTACCAACAGCTACGTGCCCGGCTCTTACTCGTGCATGTGCGAGACCGGCTACCGGCTGGCTGCCGACAAGCACGGGTGCGAGGACGTGGACGATTGTATCCAGGTGCCCAGTCCGTGCCCGCAGCGATGCGTTAATACGCGGGGCGCCTTCGAATGCCAATGCAATCCTGGCTTCGAGCTGGTGAACAACGACTGCGTGGAGTCAGTGGACCCGTGCTTAGGGAGTAGGTGCGAGTACCAATGCCAGCCTGTGGGCCAGACAGACTATCGCTGCATCTGCGCTGAGGGCTTTGCACCCAGCCCTCACGACCCACACAGGTGCCTAATGTTCTGTAACCAGACTGCATGCCCAGCAGACTGCGATCCCAACAGCCCAACTTCCTGCCAGTGCCCTGAAGGCTACATCCTGGACGACGGTTTCATGTGCACAGACATCGATGAGTGCGAAAATGGAGACTGCCCCGGGGCCTGCCGCAACCTCCCAGGCACCTACGAGTGCGTCTGTGGGCCTGACTGTGACCCCACCAAGGTGAACACTGATGGTGACAGTGACGACGGTTCTGGGGAGCCCCCGGTCAGCCCGACTCCCGGCGCCACCTTGAGCCCCTCACCTGTAGGTCCCTTGCATTCTGGAGTGCTCATCGGCATCTCCATCGCCAGCCTGTCTCTGGTGGTGGCGCTTTTGGCGCTCCTGTGCCACCTGCGCAAGAAGCAAGGTGCCTCGAGGGCGGAGCTGGAGTACAAGTGTGGTTCCCCGGCCAAAGAGGTGGTGCTCCAGCACGTTCGAACCGAGCAGATGCCTCAGAAACTCTGAGAGGCCTCTTTCCTGTCCCCTGCTGTGGGGTGGGCCTTCCCTCCCTCCTGTGTCTCTCCCCCTCCCCCAGCCTTACTCCCTGGGCACCTAATCCAAAGCACTTTAGCTGGCATCAGAACTGGAGAAGATTCTACCCCCCTTCTTTTGCTGATTCCACACTTGGCTGGGGAGCGGGGGTTGGAAGGAGTATGTGCCCCAGCCACTTCCATCACACGACTAGGCATAGATGGCAATTTATAGCGAAGATGCAGACTGCAGAGTGTCCCAGGACCTCGCCAAGGGGCACAGGAGCGGGGAGCCTCCTTGGCTGGCAGCCTTTGGGTCAGACTTGCAATCCCATGGACTAGTGAGTGTAATCAAGGTGTGGATAATGACCAAGATATTTATTTTTTTTTAAGTATTTAGTATGATTTTTTTCCTTTGTGTTTCCTTCCCCCCCCCCACCTTCAGTACCCGCTTTGTATCCCTCCCTTCTTCCCTCCCTTCTTCACTTCCCCTTCCCTATCTGTATATTTATGTATTTCTACTCTTCAGGTGGGAGTTAAACCATCTTGGTGGTGTTCCCAACACTCTCACATTGCTGAAGCCAAGCCCCCCCGCCCCGTTCCCTTTGTTATTCCTCCCAATTTTCCCCTCCCTGGAGTTCAGCCAGCCTACCCAGAGTCTCCCTACCTGGTCACCCTCCTTCTGTCTTTCCATGTCTACCTTGGCAAAATGTCTGTATGAAGCAGAATCAAAAACACTACAGTCAAGGTTGGTTGGAATTTATTTGCTCTTGAACCAGGCTTGCTAATTTATCCCGAAATTTCAGGCTTCCAGAGTAATATCATTTTAACAAAAGTTAAGATGTGAGGGCATTCATTGAACTAATGTTACCAGACTGTCACAGAAATTCAACCCAAGGAGTTTTTTTATTTTTATTTTTTAAACAATGAGCCTGGGTTTTATTGTTGTCATTTTCGTTTGAACTGAAAGATCTTTATTGTTGTTAAGCTTCTTATGCCAGTTTTTTTTTCCCACTATTATAACTGTTGTTGTTGTTATTACTGGTTATTTTTGACAATGTTGAAAATGTTCTCATTATTGCTCTAGATTAAGAGGGGAATGAATTTCTTCCCAGGAGAGAGTTTAAGAAAGTTCTAAGCTGCACAATTCATGCGTTATCATTTTGAATCTTACTCTTTTTGTAATGTGTGCTCCAAAACAAAAGGGATTTGGGAATTCAGGGATGAAGCCTGGAGGTTGCCCAATTAGGGCCTCACCTTGAACAGGCCCTCGGGAATTTCTCCCATTTTAAAGGGGCCTTCTAACCCTGGCCACTTAGAACAGGATCCCTGGACAAGAAGGGAGAGCTGCTCCTGGCGGCTGGCTAGAAATGCAGAAGCTCCAGCTGCACAGGAATCCATATTTTAACAAGATCTGCAGGGGTCTACCCAATATAGCTTGAGAAGAACTGTTTGAGACAGTTTCCAAATTTCTGGAATACATTAAATATAGATCAGTAATAAGCAGCAGGCCAAATCCGGGCCTATATTCTCAAGAAACTGAGGAATTTTCAATTTATAGATTTGCTTTCTGATAGAAAAGACTAGGTACACACCTTTAGACATTGCTACACAGGGTTGTTGGTTCAACTAAGCTAGGAATGAATTGTGTTTCACTGTATGGGAAAAATGTATCATACAAGTGTATCTTTTGTAAAACAAAAGTTTTCCTCTATTTTGTAAACTCAGCACATTTGTACATAGTTATTTATTTATTGGAGATAAACTAGAACACAGGCAAAACTCTTGCTTATGACATCACATGTAGAAAATAAACAAATAACAAAGTGCTCTTGAGTTTTGTGTCTGTTCACCTACCCTTCCCCAACCCCCTCATTTTATGTCATTAAACAGGGCTCACAAAAAAATGAAATGCTGGAAGGAACCTGGAAAGGCAGCTCCACACCCCATCACTAACTCCATCTGCTCAGGGCACCGTCTCTGACTTTCAAAGATCTTTCCAGAGAAGATGTTTTCACTGTAGAAGGACTTCATGTTACGTCTGTGTGCACAAATATTTATGTTTCCTTCTGTAACCATAACAACTTTATACATAGGACTTGTGTCTATGTGTTTTGAAATACATTATAGGATTATTTGTTGGGGTGAGTTAGAGAAACAGTTCTTGGGGGCATTTCTAGAGTCCCAGCTGTGTGTCCTTCCTGTGAATGGTTTGGCATTATCTACCCTCTGAGATATACAAATACAACAGTCACGAGGGGTCTCAGTCTGTGGCTCGAATTCAAAGAATCATTTCCACATACCAAGGTCTCATGCAGTATTAAATCATTCTTTTTTCTGTTGGAGATTAGAAATACTGTGTTTTGTAAGACACATATTTCCTGGGGCCCTTTTCCTCGGAGTGTGGCACAGCCTGAATTTTATATACAGTGCTCTGAAAATTTTCATAAAGCATAAGTTGGAAGACAACTGAGTTTGATCAAATAGTCAAACATTTATTATACATCTGGATAATGCTGAATTTCTTTTAACTCTGCTTACTGTTGCAAAGATGCAGCTGGAGATTCTGTATCCATCTTGGATGAAGCTGACAGCCTTGAGGTGTGTGGGGGTGTGGCCACTATGCATAGCACATAGGATCTCCCAGGATCCTAAGTTGAGCAATGTTGCCTTTAGGAGTTTGGCAGACTAGCAGAAAACCAAAGTCAGTAGTAGGTACATGTGAAGGAAAAAGTTGATATGTGTCAGCAAAACAGGCACACATGGGGATCTAGAGGAGAGAGCGGTAGCTTATAGATTTGTCCTTACTACTGGACTTCATTTTTCTTTTCTTTTCTTTTTTTTAAAAATATTTTATTTATTTCTTTGACACAGAGAGAGAGAAAGAGAGAGACAGCGAAAGAGGGAACACAAGCAGGAGGAGTGGGAGAGGGAGAAGCAGGCATCCTGCTGAGTAGGGACTCGATTCCAGGACCCCAGGATCAGGACTCAAGCCGAAGGCAGACACTTAATGACTGAGCCACCCAGGCGCCCTGGACTTCATTTTTCAAGAGTATCTGCTTCCAAGTAGCTTATGAATGACTAACTAGGGCTCATTGCTTTAGGGTTTCTCTAAAATCCAAAGGAGGGGAATTTTCTTAAGGGATATAAGAAGACCAAAACACACTTTTAAGATTCAGAGTTGAAAACCCTTACTGGGTCATCTTGGACCCCAGGGCACTGGTGGGAGAGGGGAGCCCAGTCCCTCCACACCCTCTTCATTCCCTGTCTTGTGGGAAGTTAAACATCCCTGCTTATAGGCCTCCTCTAAACTTGGGATTCTCAAAACAACTGGGAAACCACAGCCCCACTCTGAGAAAGATGCCAGGATCACATAAACAAATCAGTCGGCTATAGGAACGGTCGCCCAGAATTTAGAATCAGAGTAAACCTTATGAAACAGGGGCTGTGAGTCAATTTGTATGGTCTCCTTTTCTGTTCACATTATGGGATATCCAGGTCTGAGGGAGAATTCCAAATCTCGGTAGGTGGTACGTGTTTGCCGATGACAATTCACAGCTCGCAGAGCCTGGGGAAGAAGGTCAAGCTCATTCTTGTGGTTAAGTCAGAACTTGATTTTGTGAGCTAAATGGCATCTGTCCCCTCCTCAGATCTAGCTCCTTTTGTTGGACTAGTTTGGCAAATATTTATTGAGCATGTACTCTGTGCCTGGTTTAGTGATAGGCATGGTCGCAACCCTCTACCTTGAGAAGCTTACACTCTGGTGGGGGAGACAGATATAAAACAAATAAATGCCCCCAAACTGTATTGAACTTAGACACAGCAGTAGGAGCTGGGGAGGAGAAGCTCAGTACAATGGGTCAGTGGAATTTAGGTTGCAGGAGTTAAGAAGGTGTCTCTGATGAGCTGACCCTTAACACTAGACAAGGAGGGACAAGGGTTAATCAAATGCGGAGTGAAGAAGAAAGCAGTCTGGGTAAAGGAACAGCATGTGCAAAGGCCCTGTGCAGGGAAGAGTCTTGGCAGAGGGCATGAAGCATGGTGAACAAGGGGAAGGTGGCCAAGAAGGAGCTGGAGAGGTAGCACGGAGAGGTAAGAGTGGAAGGGAGAGGGTACTCCAGGTTAGCTTATCAAGGGTGAATTCTATCACAGAAGCAAGCGTGCCAGTCAAAGAGTTTTAACAAGAGCACACTGGTGTTCAATTTCTGTACTGAAATTGCTTGAGAAGGTAACAGCCACTTCTAGGCTTATTCACATGTCCCCATGGGAAGACACCTGGATGGTTTCCCTTGTAAGCATCCAGCAGGACTAACAAGGGGTTTGGGTGTCATATACACCTGGATTTGAATCCCAGCCTGACACCGGGTGGTCACATAACCATGAGTACTATGCAGTTCCTGTAAGGCTATAAAGTGGGGTGCTGGCAAGTGCCACTCCAGAGGGTTTCCATGAGCATTAGATGAGGTGAGTTAGCACAGGCTTGGGCACACAGCAGATACCCAATAAATGTTAGCAAATGTGTCATAAGTAAATGGATGCATCCGTGGATAAAAACAAATGATTAAGTTGCGATCTCAGTTGTCTTGAGAACAAATCCGAGATGTATGGGAAGTAGAAAGTATTCTTTGCAGACAAGGTGCAGTCACTTGGAAGAGATGCTGTCCACCCTTGAGGGAGCATTCTGGTGGGATCTGGGGGATCCTTAAGGAGAGAGATGTTTGAACAGGGTGAGAAGCAGCTCCAGGGAGCCGTAAAATCCTGTAACCAAGTTCTCTTCTCCCTGCTCATAAAGCCCATCAAAGCATAGGGCTGCAGAGATCCCCTCCAGTGTGCTCCTGGGTAGGCCACAGAGAAGGAGAGAATAAACCCCAAAGTACCCTGCTTGCTTTCTCAGGACCCAAAAGAGAAAGAAAAAACTGGCTCCATCCCAGGCAGTCCCTGGGGCTGTGGGAAAGGCAGCACTACCCACACCCTCACCCTAACTTCCCCAAGGGGCCCTCAAGTGTAGCAACACCAAAGAGGAACTGGCAGAAGAGAAAGGAATCATCAGTTGAAAACGATTAGCGGCCCCAGCTGCCCACACTCTTGACGGGTGACTTTGGGCAAATCTCTAAGCTTTGTCAACCATCTGCCTCACTGGGGCAGTGCAAGGGGGCTGGTGGGGGTGGACACCTAAATGCCCCCAGAGGAGTCACAGACTCTGCTGTGACTGAGTTTCCTGGCCCTGCCACACATGGCCGCACCCCCCAAAACAGGGTCAGCTGCCACCTGTGTCTCAGGAAAGGCAGCATCGTCTCTTAAAGGGTGGGGACTTGGGGACCTCTCCATCAGAAAAATATATGCACAAAAAATATTTGCTCATCTTCCTCTTTCTTTGTGGGGAGAAAGGAGACCT